AATCTTCCAAGCACTATGATAATATGGAGTGATCCACAGTGTCAAATGTTGCAGTAAGGTCCAAGAATACCAGTACTATGGTTCTTCCATGTTCAGCATTTATGCGGATGTCACTGAACACACTGTGGTAAGCACAGAAAACTGAATGGAAAAGCACTTGGTCATTATTAGGACAGAATTTATCTGTTGAAATTCAGCCTTTTCAATAATCTTGTTGTTGATGGAGAGTTTTCAGGGGAGTCTGCAGTAGCATTTTGTCTAAGTTGCTATTTTTCAAGTGGTTTAATAAAACACCTGACTCTATGACAGGCAGTGCTTTCTGAAGGAAACCTCAGTAAACAATGACAGCAGAGGGAAGAGTCTAGTTGCTGCACAATATCTTCCAAGTTTGTGTAGTTAATTTGATGAAAGGAGAATATCTTGTGAAGATCAGTTCCTGTTGGAGGAAACTTGGGTACTGAACTTGATATGGATGTACAGACTGCCTCTTTAGTGGGTGACAATAGTATCAAAGGTTGGCCTTTGCCCTACAACCGAAGGGTCATCGGTTCAAGCACAGGCTTTTAAAGTTGTGTCTTTTGGCAAGACACTTCATCCCCATTTCATACTGATGGTGGTCAGAGGGCCCAGTGGCGCCTATTTATGGCAGCCTCACTCCTGTCATTGAGCTGTGCCTACAGTGTAGCATGCCACCATCAGTGTGTGAATGTGTTCAAGAATGGGTGAATGAAAGTCTCCTGTCCTGACAAAAGCACTGTACGTACAGGTCATTCACCATTGTAATCTTTTGTGTTTTGTTGGTGAAGAGATTTGTAAACTAAGGGAGATCAGATGCCACAGTCACAAGAGGGTTTGTAGCCTGTCAACTGTGTCAAATAAGACACAAGCGCTGTTAATGATTTTGCTAAGGATCCCGGAGAAGAAAGATTATATATAAGTTATATCTGTAGAGTATATCTTTCTAGATGCTATTGTAAACTTGGAATCCAGACTTTAGCCATCTGCATTTAGCTTTTCAGCACCAATGGAGGGACTTGGACATGTTTTAAGTTCAGAGGTAGAAGGCAAGGTTCAGGTGGCCGTCTCACATGAGACAAGCTAAAGGCTGTGTCCGAAAGTCCTCCCTAACCCCATACCACAAAGCATTCTGGGATATATCTGCTGGTCTAGTGACCATAGATGATCACTACTTTGTTTTTTTGAGTCCACAACTTTTTCATTCACTAGACGTTTGGACCCTCATTTAAAATGATGTAACTAATATCCTGAGCAGCTGATATTGTGAATTCTGAGGTTCTGAGTTCGAGCTCCACAGACTGCCACTCCGGGTCTCTGAGTAAGACATTTAACCCCACACTGCTCCATGATGGCAGCCACCTGCTCCCCAATGGGATGGGTTCAATGCTGAGGTTAATTTCTCCATTGTGCGATTAGTAAAGTTAGATTTTTACTATATAGTGCCCTATATAGAGATTAGGGCAGATATTCTGACCCACCAAATAGTGGTATGTTGAAGGACAGAAAGGTTCCCCCAAGCGAAGGAGAATGGAGAGAAGCCTTTGAAGAGGCTGTCCATCCAATCACAGATACACATAGGAAATACTGCTTACTAAAAGTCCTCTATTTTGAGAGAAAAATGAACAGGTGAGGTGTCTGTGTCAATGAGTGGTCAGAAAGAGGCGGAAAACCAAGACATCCTAACTCAGAACATTGACACACAGGACCAGCTATATAGACTAGCAAGTGTCTATGTAGCAATTATTTATGTAGCAATATTGTAGCAATAGACTAGCTATTAAATGTTATGGCTAAAATTCCCCATACCATGCACAGAGGTACAAAGTGGTTATAATCAAGGTATCTGGGCTTTCGCAATTTATTCAAAAGGTACTGATGGCAGCCCTAAAACTTATTGGTTTTCTTAGAAGCATGAAGTTCCAAGATTTGGACAAATCCAGCATTTTTGTAAAGACATAACAACAAAGACAAAATATTCGTGAAAGTATTCGTCCAGCCCGGTAAAATCTGTTATTAACAGACTTACTAAAGATATCCCTCTCCAAGGAACCTACTGTACCTTTTAGGCGCTCTAGACAGTTGGAGTGGCTAAAAACAACAGTGAAATGGTTAAGTTCTTTGGAAGAACACATTCCATTGCAGGACTACAGAACGTGTGTGTGTATGCTGTGATCATGGTGTTCACTTCGTCCCAACAGGCAAATGGCCCATGGGCTGCAGATGGCCGAGATAGCCCAGTACAAGAAACGGAAAGCCGAGAAACAACAGCAAGAACAACTTGCAAAGAAGAAAAACTGAGGTAATGTTATGCATTATAAAAAATGTATAACATTACTGGCTTGGTTGGCAACGTGACTCGTCCTTTAGAAAACATAATTTGGGAATGAACTGTCTTAAGGTGTTACCACAAATTGTTTATACTTGATGGATCATGAACACAACCCTTTAGACGTTTGGGGAGAAATCTTGGCTACAATAAGAAAATATCAGTCAAAATCCTGGAAGAAATAATTTGACTATTGTATAAATCAACTCAATATTCCACTTGAAAATTAGAAATCCCTTTGACATCCTACTACTTTTCCTCTAAGTTTAGAAAGATCAGAATTGAGTTTGACATCTAGTTTTCTGTTCCAAACGTTCTTTCTTGCCCTACGATAGTTTTACCTGGGTTGTATCAAGATATAATATATTATTAATCAAAAGCTGTGGCATCTAAAGACAGTTCATGTTAGGATTTTGGGAACTTAGTCCAAGGGATAAAAAGAAAAACTACGCTTTTATTTTGATAACAAAACTCAGTTCTTCTACTTTACAAGTCTTTTAAACTGCTCACCACGTCGCTGCTGTCTTTTGAAAAATCTGTTTTGATTGAAAGAGCCCTAGAATACATTTTTATTTCGTTTTCCTTGTGTTGAATGTAGTTTTTTACACCTACAAAATCATCAGAAAGGCAAAGTTCTCATAAAAAAAAAAATCAAAATAAAATAATCATTTGATGGCAGCAAAGTGTTGGCGCAGACCGGAAATATCATGATGTATCTTTAAAATAATTGATAATTGTTTTGGTTTTTTTAATTTTATTTATTAATTTAAGTTTGTTCGAGGTAATCTTAACCTGTAGAAGGGAGCAATCAGAACTATTTGAGTTACTTACTTGCTTGGACCAGTCAACTTTGTAACTCTCCCATGACATCTGACACAAGACTAAGTAATTTTCAGCCACCTAAACGGATTTTAACTCTAAAACATTCACACCAATGAATGCTTTTGATCACATTTTACATTAGATCATAACATGGATTCACCCTGCCTTCACCATGTACCCTGGGAAATTTGACACTATACATTTTGTTAAATTTTTTACAATTCTGAATAGCAAAACAGCGAATCTATAGGGAAACAGGTATCGCATCCAAAAGTGAACAAGTGTACAAATTTACAATAGAGTAGTGGCTTAATAATTACTTAAAAGTGCTGACTGAAGTTAACTTTTAAAATAATGTAATTATGGTACAAAAACTACAATTTTTTATCCTTAAATCACTAAAGAATGCCAATACAAAAATTTAAAAACCATCAAATCAGAATTAAACAGCTTGTCTGATGTCATTATCAGACATGCTCAGAGTAGTGCAACAAAATATGATGAAACCATGTTTATTTCTTTTTTTTATTTCTTTCTTTAGGTTACGCACTGTATGCCATAATGTTAACTCAAAAGGAAAAATAAAACTCAAAAAGACTAGATTTGTGTTTTAATCCAAAGCCTAAAAAGTTAGCTCCCGGAGTCGCATATAATTCCATTTCTGGCACAGAAGAGTTTAGTTCGGTACGCTTACTATTTTAAAGGAGGGGAAAACGTAATTTAAGTATTTTAAAAAAAATTTAAAATCAAGGGGGACCAGGATGTCTTTGCGCATGTGTAAATGAGCTGATGGTACAGATCGTGCTACCGGTACGGATCGGGTAATGCCAGGGTTTTTATATCTGGCAGTACTTTAGCTTTTACTTTCCAATGAGAATTTCTTCCTGATTCTAGAAATAGAAATAGTTCCGACTGCTGCCTTCTGCAGGTACAACAGTAAAGACTCGATTATAGATATGCTTTCATGGATATAAAACAAGCTGGTATTTAAATCCTTCTATTTGTTTTAAAGTGTCTAAATTCTATCCATTTTTAAAAAAATCTTTATGGTGGTGTGCTCAGAGGTCCTTTGTCATGTTTCCTGCTTTTTTTGTGTCTGATCCTTTGTTTGACTGTAAAGAGTAGACACTGAGTGAAAATTTGTTGGTGCTTTTATAATGACATTTAGACCTGTTTTAGAGTTTGTTGCTTGCTATGCCACAGAGGAAGCTTCCGTAGATGGTAGTGGCTTGAGCAGAAGTTGGCAGTTCCATTCCTGCTGAGTTGATGTCATGCTTCATCGCTTCTCCAACACCTTTTAATTTCATATAGTTTTCATCAAAATGTTACCAAGTTATGTACGACTCTGCTAATGACCCTTTATTTAAATAAACAGTTAAAGTAAATTAAAACTTCAATGGGTTTAGTCTATAAGGACTGGAATTGCAAACATCTGGGGTAGAGCTTGAATTTGTAATAATATTGATGTTTTTCCTGTTAAATAAATGGTTCTAGATTTCTGAAAGATGTAAGGACAAGAAAAATATCAATGTTTTAAATTTACTCTTTTACTTTGCATTTGGGAATGGTTTGTTAAAAAAAAAACAAGCTCTTAAATTCTTTCAACTAAGCTTTTTTTTTTAGGTGTTTGTAAGAAAGAAAAGATACAAAAAATAAGATCTGCTTAGCTTATTGCTTATCTTTGTGCTGACCATACAACATTTCAAAGTAAATATAACATTTTACCTAAAAATGTAAAAGTTATATTTAAGATTTTTTTTATTATTTCACTTGTTATCGAAACACTTTCATCCGTCTCAGATAAGTTTTCTCTTTCCATCCTCTCCTCTCTTAGAATGTCCTTGACTGAATCAAGGGACTTGAAGCAGGTGTTTCACAAGGCAGTGAAGAAGATTTCACATGTCCGTGTTGTGACGCAGCTCTATATGCCTGAAGACGACCACAATGTCCTGCTGACGCACCACTGACTGACTGATTTTGTCTGGAGAACCCATAAGAGCCCCAACACAAAGCTTCAGCCATGCAGAACTCTGGAACTGCCTTCCTCTGAGAGACAGAAGGACCGTAGTGAAAGTGTGTGTTGGGATTAATATTGGTCAGAGCGTTTGTTTGCACATCCATGAGTATTAGCGGCTCCAGCTAAGGAGATGAAGTCTGAATGTGGAATGATCTACAGAGGCTGACAAGTGGTGAGTCGGCAAAGACGAGATCTGCAAAAGTGTCGGTCAGCAGCAGAGGAACCCAGCTAATCTCTCTCATTCGTTCCCAACACCTTGCTCCTCCTCTGGAAGGACATTTATTAGGAGGGAGATCAGTGGTGCTCCGATACTTCATAAAGTTGTCCTAAAGTCCTACTAAGTTTTAAAACTGCTTGTTTTAATTTGCTACCAAACCAATAATTAACAAAAATGAAATTGAATAAAGCAATTATTGTGAAAGAAGTAAAACATATGTCAATATGACTTTATTGGGGGGGTGGGGGTTTGGGTTAAAGAAAATTGCCTGTGCAATACTGAAGGATTTCATTATTAAATTAAATCATCATCCATCCATCCCTCGATTCATCCATCCATCCTTCTATCTGTCCATCCATCCATCAATCTACCCATCCATCCCTCTATCCATTCTTCCTTGCATCCATCCATCTATCAATCCTTCTATGCATCCATCCATCATCCCTCTATCCATTCATCCATCCCTCCATCTGTCTCTCTGCCCACTCATCCATCCATCGATCCGTTATCCATCCACCATGCATCAACCCATCCTTCCTTGCATCCATCAATCCATCCCTCCTTCTATTAATTCATTCATTCATCCATCCTTCCATTCATACATTCATTCATCCCTCCATCGTCTGTCCAAGAGAATGTAAACGCAATATTATGCAGTGTAATATTCAAATTCTAGAGATTACATTAAAATGGTGGAAAATTAAAACCAAGGCAGTGTTATTATAGTTAATATTGTATGACATTACTTTGGTGTTTTTATTTGTTGAAACATTTAAGAGATCAGTAAATGGTGGATTCTACTCTTTTGATGAGGAGGGTGAACCAATGAGGTGGGTTTTGATCACCTATTACAGATTAAATGTTAGATTTGTCTGCATTGTGTGAGTGTGGGCTTGAGCTCAGCTCACACTGATAGGTTTATTCAGCTAATTCATGGTAAAATATCTGCTAGGAAACCACTGCTAAGGACAGGCAACAAGCAGAAGAGACTTGTTTGGCCTAAAGAACACAATGAATGGACATTACATCAGTGGAAATCTGTGCTTTGGTCTGATGAGTCCAAATCTGAGATCTTTGGTTCCAAACATCATGTTGTTGTGCGATGCAGAAAAGGTGAACGGATGGACTCTAAATGCCTGGTTCACACCATGAAGCATGGAGGAGGAGGTGTGATGGTGTGGGGGTGCTTTGCTGGTGACACTGTTGGGGATTTATTCAAAATGGAGGGCATACTGAACCAGCATGGCCACCACAGCATCTTCCAGCAGCATGCTATTCCATCCGGTTTGCGTTTAGTTGGACCATCATTTATTTTTCAACAGGACAATGACCCCAAACACACCTCCAGGCTATGTAAGTGCTATTTGACCAAGAAGGAGAGTGATAAATGCTGCGCCAGATGACCTTGCCTCCACAATCATCGGACCTGAACCCAATCAAGATGGTTTGGGGTGAGCTGGACCACAGAGTGAAGGCAAAAGGGCCAACAAGTGCTAAGCATCTCTGGGAACTCCTTCAAGACTGTTGGAAGAGCATTTCAGGTAACTACCTCTTCAAGCTCATCAAGAGAATGCCAAGAGTGTTGAAAGCAGTAAAGAAAGCAAAAATTGGCTTCTCGAAGAACCTAAAATATAAGACATATTTTCAGTTGCTTCACACTTTTTTGTTAAACATATGATTCCGCATGTGTTAATCGATAGTTTTGATGCCTACAGTGTGAATCTTCAATTTTCAGTCATGAAAATAAACTCCTTGAATGAACTTTTGGTCTGCACTATGCAAATGTGTTTAGTTTGTGCAGAAATAATAAACCCCTTGAAAAAACAAAACAAAACAAAACAAAACATGAAAAAGAAGCATAAGAGCTGAGAGGATCCCTTTTTAAGGAGACCCACAGCAGCCTCTAGTGGCTCCTCATAAACTGAGCTGAGAGTTTTCTGTTAGCAGATGGTGTCCTGAGTGTCCTGCAGGGTTATCCAGCTTGATGCACATTGTAGACATTGTTTATGTGTATATTTGCTTGTTAAAAATCCACTAACTGGCTGCCAGCTTACTGCTCAAATAAAACATGTTTAAGATCAGGAATATAAATAAAAATGGCAGCAGTTTTATCAATACCTGATGATTTGTGCCCCACTGATTTTAAGCATTGTCATGGGTGTATTTGGTTAAAATTCAATTATTTTATTATGATTAGAATCAATAGGATAAAAGAACAAAAATATGTACATTTACTCCTATAAAAGAAGGAAGACATTGACTGTGTCAGGGTTGGGTTGTGGTTTTGAGGACTCAAATGCATAGGTGAGGAGGCAGAGGTGAGTTCTTATAAATTTAAAGTGCAAAAAAAAAGGAACTAAAAACCAGACTACTTAAGGGGAAAACTCACATGGGGAGCCAGGAGAAGACGAGGAACCAGCACTGAGGAACTGCACATACAGTACAGTATATATAGGAGACAGAACAAAGACAGGACTAATGAGCTGATTGGGAGCAGGTGAGAACAGAGGAGTCTAGAAGGGAGCCAGGGAAAAGGAGACCAACACAAGAGGGCAACAGAGGGCAAGCAAGAAATACCCAAGAACTCAAATACATCCAGAAAGCACCAAAAAAAGGAATTAAACCAATAAAACTAGCAAACAAAGAAAAACATGGATCAAAATGAAACTGAAAACTCAAAAGAAAACTTAAACGGAACCAAGACCGTGACAGACTGCATATATACTTCATATATCTTAAAGAATTATACACATTCCTATACTCTAACCCATTTAAAGTTATTTTTGCATTAAAAATGCTCTTTTCAATGAAAAATCTTAAGCAAACATCAGCATTTGATTCCAGTGCAGACGTTGCTGATATTTACTCCCGAGGAAGATGTCATAGAGGCATAGAGCTGCAGATTGTGGCTGTGTCACAGGATTTACATGGTACCCAGATGTTAAACGAACTGTTTGGAGGGGGAGGGGAAAGAATACAAGGGTGGCTTATTCTATAGTGATATAGAATAAGCAGTAACATGAATTGGACAGATTAGACCTGGATTACTCCTGTCAATGTGGCCAGTAGTCCTGCCCAGCATGGCTGTCCCATAAGCTAGGGTGGCAGAAAGAACATTGAAGGAACATGTTTTTCTAAGAAGGTTGTTCCAAGTGAGACTTCTATGTATTTCTCCATTTCACTTACCTGATAAAAAGATCATGTTGACCCACAGCAGTGCTCCTACAGAGCATCAGCAAAAGTAGAAATGACATAAACAAAATAATAAAAAAGAAAATATTAAAAAGGGTTGAATAACAAACTACTTTTACAATACTCAGTATTTTAATTAGTTAAATAATCATGTGCATTTTAAAATACATCTATATTTGTTGAGAGTTTATTAATTATGGCTATTTTTTTCATTAATAATAAACTCTATTCTGATTAAAAAGCTGATTGTAGGAATAAATCAAAACCAATATCTCACCATTATTACAAGCTGCCTACAAAGCAACTCATTCTCTGATCAAAAAGCATAAATCAGACTTTAAATGTCCTCTAAATGGTCATTATTTTGTATCTAATCATATGCAATATGACATTCTTCTCTGAGGTTTTAGAACTTGAGGCTTTTAATAAAATATTTGCACAGTTTTTATGGTGACAAGCAACATCATTTCAATTTTTCTATAGGAAAATAATTTGCTTTTAACTTTCTGTAAATTGTAGGTAAAGATAAATATTTTAGGGATAATAGTTCTTGCAGCTCCACAGTATGATGCCACCACTACACTGCATAACACATGGCTTCCTGTTATTTGGCTTTAATCCTGACTTTGACTTCAGTATAGCATGGTTCTTGCCATTTTGGCCAAATAGCTCCTTATTTCTCTCATCATCTCCTCCATCTGGTATTAAGCTTGGAAATCTTTCCTTGTTGAAGTTGAGACAGATGTTCCTGTGGTTACTTTCTCATTTTTGACCTGTCTAATTGGTTTCCTTTTATTTTTCAGAGTTTCACAGTTTGGGTCGTGTGGTTTCAACTTTGCAAAAAGAAACATTTTATACTGTTTATGGTATATGTTTTAACATATTGGTGTTCTTAAACAAACCTAAATTCTGGTTGAGAACATGAAGCAGACATATTTTAAGTTTTTGTAGTGGCCTTAACCTAAACCTTACAAGAATGGTCAGTTATCCTGCTACATTTATGCTGGCAGCTTGTTTAAGAAAACAAAAGTGTTTCCTCTGCAGCTTGCTAGTTTTACCCAAATAGTAGGGAATGCATGTATATCTTGGATTCTGTTTGTATATTTATAAACCTTTATTAATTACAGAATACCAAAAATTTGTTTCAACCTACACACCTCAATATGGCTTTCTTTATTTATTTTCTGTTCTCAGTGTTCTTCCATAAATAATGCTATATTTTAGCACCTTTTTTTTTAATTCCTCAATGGATTAAATTAAATGAAAAGTATATAAATTAAATACACTGGATTTATTTGTTACTTTCCTTTCATGTGTTTTACACTAAGGAAGTTCTAGAGCTCTGAAAAACCTTTTATTTTGTATGGTGCAAATGGTAAACAGTCTGAACTTAGAGTTTTTTCAAAATGTTGCCACTTTCTTTTCCCTTTCAAAGGTCATTTACTGTATAAATTGCAATGACAGACCTGGTTCGGACCCCAGTGCCTTGAGTTTGATGCATGTAATCTAATGATAACTAAATTTATGTTTACATTCAGGAAATGTGCGAATGTAGTATCATTTCAACAGTGGATTAATGTGAATTTTGAGTTAATTTGTGAGATATCTATACATTTATTGCCACCAGTCTTCTAAACATTGTAAATTAAAAGGCAAAAAAAGCCCTCCTGCAAAAAAGAAAAAAAAAGAAAAAACAACTGATTTTAGAAATCTTAATTCTTAGTATTGTTTGCATCCGTAAATCTGCTGATGTAATGTCAACTGCAGCAGTGTTGCAACAGAGGTTTTACTTTAAAACACAGCGGGTCTGAAACAAAGGAAAGTATGCTCTCCTTTTGTGTTCCCTGAGTGTGTGTGTTTCTGCTTTGTTGACTCCCCTTCTTTGATGCAAGTACAATAGCTGCTAAAAAAATAAAAGAAAAT